ATATATATATATATGAAGGTGTTTAAGTACATGTAACACTGACCCTATTTTATGGACAATATCCCCTCCCTGGATACCCCAAAACTGATCCAACGAAGAAATTAATTAAGAGATAGAAACCATAGGAATACAATAGTAATGCAAATCAAACCACAAAACACAGTACATGTACATTTGTATATCAAACAACTAACAAGTCTTCATTTGTTGGAAATAGATATTAGTTGATCACTGTGTGATAACTGTTAGAACCAAGTGTAATATGGCTAGTTATCACACGGGCCAGAACACCTCAATTTTTTCAAACGTTATCGCAGCCCAGCTAAGATTTAAAGAGAGATATCAACTAAAGGCATTCCATTGCTTGAGGAAAGCAGTGGAATTGAATCTAAAACAAAGTTCCTTGTTTGTATGTAGGACCCAAAGCTACGAGCAGCCATTAAAAAGATGGAAAAACTTGACCGCATCTTGGCCAAGAAAGTGTTAAGAGAGAAAGAAGTCAAGAGACAGCGGATGGACCTCTTTAAAAGGTGATGTTCTATTTATGTCTGTGTAACAAGTATTTAGGTTACTACAATGTTAAAATACTGAAATGCGTTAAAGCAGGCATACTGAAATCCGTTAAAGGAGTACTAACCTCCAGAAGGAAGTGCTATTTTCCGATACATCATGCTGCAATGAATACATAACTAGCCGACTTTTTACACAATTTCGCTTGTACGACTTGCGCGGCGCATGTTTGTAAAGTGATATTTATATCATTTTCCCCCATGCTGAACCACAATTGATACATCCGGCAACTCTGCCTTACGCAATACTCATACACTTCAGGTCAACATACATATTTTTCGGCGAAAATGGTAGGAGACAAGCACACTAACAAGCTGAATATTGAGCAGTTACTTGTTTTACTTTGCTTGACCTGTGGCTTGGATATTTTAATATCAGGATGTCGAATACAGTGAGCGCCAGTTTCATCCTGCGTGTTTTGATTTTCTCAACTTATTTGCATGTAAGTATTACTTGAACAGATAATTAGATTACGCCACTTATGGAAAGGATAACTAGATTACGCCGTTTTTTTCATCGTCAATATTTGCGGCATAAATGAGGGGCGATAAGGACACCAAGAAGGGCTATGGTTGGTAGGATACCAAAGAACACAAAACGGTACGAATTTTTCTTATCGCCCCCGAAATGAGGTCTGTAACGTAATTTTTTGTTTAAAACATAGACACCAATGGGGTAGCGTGGTGTATTCTGGGATAGTTTTGAGGGTATTTGGAGAGTTTGTCCTGGATTCGATGCGTTTTAAGACTTGCGCGCAAAATGGGCATTTAATGGTATACTGTAAAATAATATGTATTTTTCACTTTCAAAAATAAATGCCTGTCGAAATATAGCACCCCCTTCTGGAGGTTAGTACTCCTTTAAAGCAGGCCTACATGTACATGTACGAAAATGCACGGTTTTCGTAGGCTCACGTTTATATGCTTATTTTAGCAGCTTCAGGTTTTTGCCTGTGCGTATTATAAAATTAGGTCAATGTTACTAAGGCATAGGAAAAAAATTTTGGGTTTCCTGTTTCAATCGTGACAAAAATTAGTGTCCATACATGTAGGTAGGGATTATCTTTATTTCCTTCTTTTTTTTCAGACTTAGGTGATCTCTAGTGATCCCACTCATACAATATACTAGTAGTTTCACAATATTGAAAATAAAACTTGCTTGAGGACACTTATATTTTCAATGTCAATGTTGGAAAACCGATTGTGCAACATTTGATCACTCAGGTGTCTGATCATGGAGCTAGAAAAGGTCGATCAGCTCGAAAAATGTATGTTCCTTGCAAGGGTCCAAGCAAAAAATGCTAGGGTCGGCAGTTTTTTCTAGGGTCGGTCGGGAAACAGGAAACACAAGATTTTTTTCCAAGGCCTTACAAATGTAGTTCCCTGCTGACTACATGTGTATGTGTTTATGTTAGGTTGAAAGACGAGATGGGTGACATCAAGCCTGAAGGAAGGGATGAACAGAAGGAGGTCTCACACAACACCATGAAGTTCCTCGCTCTAGCACCGCCGGACAGTCACAACCAAGGTACTACTTAAGTCACGCATCTTAAATGGTTTTTAAATAAATAAATGTTTTTTATTGTCCAAACGGTACCCGTGCAGTCGCAGCCTTTATACGGCTGACTTGATGCAGGGTATCACATAATTAATACAAATCACAACAATTACAACAATCAAATAATACACATGATACACATATTTGTTCCACAATTATTTTTTGTGGAACTGTCGCAAGGGTCTGTGCGGCTGCCATTCGGCACCACAAGGTGACCTCAATACGGCTTTCCCCAACCGAAGTTAGACACCCATTCACACCTGGGTGGAGTGAGGAAAGTCGTGTAAAGTGAATTTCCCAAGGGCACAACGTCAGGGCGCATGTCCAGACATGTACCGGGTACGACTCGGAATCGAACCCGGGTCTCCCCGGTTCATAGTCGATTGCTCTAACCACTACACCACCCGACGCCACATACCATATTATACATGTATCTTACTGACTTGACTGCAGGTCAAAAAATTTCCTCTAGGTGGCAGGCTTGACACATGGACATGGCTGTTCTTGACGTACAGGTACTAGTATATGCAAGGATGAAATCTTTTATCCATGGCCTCATGTTATTGCTGTTGTGTGCCACAACCAAGGTCAGGGGTACTACTGTTTCGAGGAGCATGCGTAGTCCAGTGGTTAGCGACCCTGCCTCTGGACCAAAAGGTTGAGAGTTTGAATCCCGGATGGTGTAGCTCGCTAGCCTGGTACCAAAC